AATTAACGACTGGAGGCGTAACAATATTGTTAAAATATGTTTAATGCACATTTCATGAGGTCATATGATACTTGTCAAGTTGAGGTTTCACGATTTCAGCTTAAAAACTTAAACGCTAGTAGTAAATAACCTTTTGGTTTTGTAGCAGTGTCGTAAAATATCTATCAAAGTTAGCTTATCACAACCAACGTATGTATGTAAAACTGGAACGTAAATATATATATATAACCAATCATTCCTGATTTTGTTGGATTGGAGACTACGAAAGTTTATTATCTTGTTTGCAAAAAGACTTCAAACTGATATCAACATGTTTTGGTGACAGGTCACAATTTTTTGTTCTCTAATTTTATCTTCCATTAGTGTGATAAATGTATATTTTAAGATGGGCATAATCTTATGTCTACAAACTTATCAAATAGTTTAAAGGTATTTTTACGAAAGTTGTGTTCGTGCTTAAAGTAAAAGATAAATGAACATAAATACAACAAGTTAGGACTATCGCAAAAGAGGGAGACTAAGAAATAGAACTATAATATATACTTCATGTTCTAAAGATCAGGTATATATATAGATATATACATATATTTCACCTCAACAGTTAAAATCTTATACTTAAGATTGGTGACCAAAACATGTTCATGATTTAATTCCTGCAAACATACCCCGTCACGATGATATCAAACTATAATTGTTGAAGCTTTTGCTTCACTTTTGCTAATACATGCCTCATTTTATCATACATTCCTGTTGAGTTGGACAAGTTTTCAAAGGGCAGGTGTTCAGACACACCATCCTTAAACTTCGAAGAATCTGGCAAGTGGTTATGATGGCTAACTCTCGACAGAACAGGCGTCCCAGTATATACTGACAGAGAACGACTATGCTTCTTCTCTGTTGCTTTCTTAGAGTCCTCACTTTGGGCAGATTCAGAATCACTTTGCATATTTTTAGCACAAACAGTTGGTAGTTCACTGAAAGAGGTCTCCTCAATTAAATCAGTGGCTCTACATTCTTGACTGCTTCCATCTTCCAAGTCTGTCGAGTCAGCAACCCGGTCAAGTTCTTTCATCAACTTCCTTTTAGTCTCCTCCAAGTCAGTTAAAGATGGTGAGGTTGCCCGTGACGATACTTGGCTAGATGCTGCAGTACCTTGGTCATCTGTATCAGAGCAATCTGATGGAGGCAAAGAAGGTGGAGGAGGAGGAGGAGGGGTGTTTTTGGGGGTATCTGGGGGAAGGGGTGGAATAAACTTGCATGTGCCAGCTTCATCATCTTCTGAATCAATTATTCTCCCTTCTATTTAAAAGTATGGAGAAAATGATTTCAAAATCATGTAAAAAATAAAAACCCATATTTCATACATTAAATTACAGGTTTCTTTTTTGATTTTTATCAACCTTTGGGATTTATATAATGAAAAGAATTGTACTTGAAATAATCTCTAAAAAAACTGAGAAACTATGATTCTAGAATACATAAAAAACCTTAGCTTTGTTATTTCTGAAGATAAAGTATTTTGCTGCAACCATCTCTTGTATTAATAAAAAACAACTTAGATTCTCCATCGTATATCTATACCACGGTTAAACTAGAAAACTTAAAAAAGAAAAGAACTTACGAATGTTATAATCAACTTCCATATCTTCTTCACTTCTGTCTAGCCTGCTGACCTTGACCTTAGCTTTTACATTTGAAGTATCTGGAATTTGTCTTTTCAAGTACGGTTTTGGCTCCTAAACATGACAGAATGTTAGAGATAAAACTATACTATTTGAAAGAGGAAAGAATAAGAAGATGCAGTAAAATAACATGTTTCTTAAATACTGGAATCAATGACAAAGTTTAAAGTACATAAAAAAACTTTCCGGTACGTTACATGTCTTTATTTATTTCATTCTGCTTGACAAAGTGTGATCATCTTGTAAAATATGACACCAAAACATACGACACATTTTTTTTTCTTCAATGAATACTGAACAGACAGAAGTTTTTATACATTCGTGAACCTAGCTAAAGTTTTGGGCGTGCCTGGACTTTTATGAATCATCAGCTATAAATGATCTTAAGCTCAACACAACAATGGTGGGATCAATTATCAGTTTTTTTTTCCTTGCACTAAACATGAAATAGTAGTATTAACATCTTGGAGGGCATGTAAAAAAAAAAAGTTTTAGTGGAGGATTGTTATTAGACTGAAAGGTGTCAGTGACCCTCATCAACTTGTGACAGTATGTTTGACTGAAAGGTGTCAATGACCCTCATCAACTTGTGACAGTATGTTTGATTGAAAGGTGTCA